ATTCCTCTCTTTTACATTATGAGAATCACTAATTACTTTTTATATTCTACAATGGAAATAAAATTAAGATAATAATGATATCAATGATTTAATCATTTTGTATGTTAATAGTACAGTAGTGTCACAATTTTAATTCATTATTCTAACATTTCATTGCACCATTTATGCATACACAGGTCCTTTAAACTTCTTTTTAGCATTAATTGGCAAAATAAGCTGGCCAAATAATCAATACATGTTTTTTAAACTGGAGCTTCTAAATATTAATTAGATGGATATGATATGCAATGTCGTGCAGATTTGATCTCAGAGCAATCAATGAAACGTGATACGTGAAATAAACCTAAGGATCTGTGAACTATATATGTAACTATACTTTTTCATACTAAAACAATTATTGGTGTGATATCAGCAAATTATCACATATTGCTTCGACCACATAAAGAATAAAATTACTGACAGTATTTGAATCCACATTAATTATTTTAAAACATTGCCTTTTAAGATTTATATCTAAAAAATAAAGGTTTCTCGAAGAAAAATATTTTTATACTCTTTAGATATAGGAGGTTGATATTATATTGTACATATTTCATAATTTATCCATACCACCCAAATATTTCTTAAATTATTTGAGTAAAAATCTTTTAATAAAATTGCATTGTATATATATTTTAACCTACCCTTTTTGTGGTTTTAAGTAGATAATAAAAACCTTTTAGGCATAAAACTTGACAAGTAGTTTGTTTGATGAGTGATTCACGCCCGAAGATTCACGTAGCTGTTGCTGTTGAATGTGGGAGTCTGGGGCTAGAAACAAGCCCCTGTGACGCATACTGTGTTCTATAGATAAGTCCACAGTCTTAAGCAAGACTAGTGGGATCTCACCATGGGCGCAGAGGTTGGTTCTAGTAAAGAAGCTATAGTTTAATTAAGAAGCTAGGTCAAAAAAGAGCGATGGGTAAACAACAATTGGACTGGTAAAGCAAACAATACAACAACCTGGGATCAATTTTCATGACAAAGTTAAGGATCTACAAATCAATTGTTATTCTCAGATTTACGATGTAATATTTAATTGACTTGCAGAACGGGTTATCTACGGAGCTTAGCGAAATGAACTCCTGAAACGCGAAATTCAGATATTGATCATCATTGTTCATTAGCGACTTTTGCAAACATTGGGTTATGGTAAGGAAGAAATCACAACAAAATGGTCAAATTGGACATTTCCTGATATCGATAGAAGATTGTTTGAATCATACGCCCCTGGAGCACTTGGAACATTTTAATTGATCTAATTCGTTATAAGGCAAATCTTATTAGGGGTGTTGACAGGGAATCTTGGATAAACTTAGTTTATCCATTATACTTTCAGGGTAAGGCTTTGGGGCGTCACACTTCAGATAAAAACAACTCAGAATTTGCTCCTACTCTTAGTTTCACATATTATTATTGCTATTGAAACGAACATTGCCTAACATTACTATATGTGTTCACAGTAAAACTAAGAAATCAATCTGACCATTGCAGATAGTTATTACAAAAGTGTAACAATTATCACAGACCCGCTGAACGTCGAAACCAACAATGCCCAATATCGGTCGCCAAAATGTAGGCCATAACAATTTGTATTTATTAATGACATAATAGAGCAAAACGAAGAGGGTCGAGGGGTAGCACTAGATCTCGTTATGTAAGAACAACAACTGCTCAGATCCAATCACACGATATCACGGTGAGCAACCATACCGCACCGGGGATCGACCCCGGTGCGTTACACTTTTCCCCGGAGCGTTGGTAACGCACCGTCCTTTTAAAATGGCGGACGGAAATGTGTTTCCTCCGGAGGAAACAAATAATAGTGGAAACCAGAGGTGAGTGAATATCTTTTAACACATTCCATTCTAAACACGATATATCAGGGTACCTTATTAAAATTCCACAAAGCTGTAACATATCGGTATTATGTGAACGAAATGTAAATGCACCTTGAAAAATTCGAAGGAAAGTTAAAGGCTCGTCTAAAATGTTGTATTTCTTGTCAAAGAAATGATTGGAACAACCACAGATTTTTTTACTCAATATAGATATATTTATAAACATACTACTCTTCAATATCTTACAATTCGAACATTGTACAAGCGTCATTTATTTTCATGAAATGTACCTTCCAAAATTGATGGGGTAACGCACCGACACAAATCTACGACAATTTAGAAACGCACCGGTTATATTTTTACAGGAAACGACGGAGAAGTTCTGGACTGCAAACTGGGCATTCAAGATACAAGAAACGCCTGAAAATTGCACCTACCGTCACTACAAGCGACGCTGGTTGTACAAAAGCCACAACTAACGATAAATCACTTAAGACACCAATCAATGCTAATACAAAGGCTATCAGAAGTGCTAGGAAAAATGCACCAAAGAAAAGAAAAAAGCCAAAAATTAGAAAAACATTGTTTGAACAATCACACACTGATTATGACATTGAAATTGAAAGTGCTATGAAACTGCTACCAAATGTCATATTGTGTCTCAGAAGACACAGTTTTTGCACCGAATTCATTATGCTACTAAGACTCCTCGCGAAAGACAAATTCCCAATGAATAACATATCGTGGCTTCTTTTCCTGGAGGTTGTGAGGTTGTATTCTCTTAGTTCCAACTCAAACATGACGTACAGGTATGGTTGTTAGCTTTAGAAGCAAACCCTCACTCTGTAAGTAGATTTCACATAACAAGGTATTTCATAATGACCGTCCCCTGTCAGTCACCAATCCTAGATGGCGCACCTCCATGTGTTATAATATCATAGGAAAGCTCAATCAATTCATGACTTATTAAAACAACTTTGATTAAGCTCAGCAGCTTTTACGCTCTTTTACGCTCTTTTTAAGCTCTTAATGATACGAATAATAATGTTATTATTTGTCCCCCTCTTTAAACCCAATGTACAAATAGAAGCCATAAATCCAGCAAATTAGGATGATAGTGACGACAAAACATAAATCCACAAATTATGGTCCCAAGGATCACTCGTTCCAATATTTAGCCCATAAGTGCATTATTAAAAAAGCTGTATGATGATGTATAGATTAAGAGAATCTAAAGGCCCGTGTGATTTAGGATTGGTTTTGGATGGGAGAGGGTAATTATGAAACACCCTATACAATACACAAATGCATAAAAGTACGAAATGTGATAGTTTGCAAAATACGGTAATACATACTACAGGCGATAAAGATATGACACTTTCACTGGTCAGAATCAAGATGCGGTAACGACCGTTACCTTCTTATCTAAGATGGCGGACGAAAAATGTCGATTTCAATATTTTTTGTTTTCATCAAATTAAACTACGTATAATTGACGCAATGCTTTGATATTTGAACTTGATAAGCCTTATATATCATGGAAACTTTGTAGTATGACCATTTATTCTTAAATCATACACGGGCGCCATAATTCAATTATATGTTACACCGCTCAAGGGAAGGTAACTGAGAGTTTGATTTTGCAAAATTCACTTCCATTTACCTTCCCTTAAGCGATGTAACATACAGTTGAATTATGGCGTCCACGTATGATTTAAGAATAAATGGTCATACTCCTAAGTTTCCATGATATCTTAGATTTATCAAGTTCAAATATCAAAGCATTACGTCAACTATAAAGTAGTTTAATTCGATGAAAACAAAATATATCGAAATCGACATTTACCATCCGCCATCTTAGATGAGAAGGTAACGGCCGTTACCGCATCTTGATACTGACCAGTGACTTTGATAACATTTCGTGTGTATCCGTTCTTATACCCTGCAGCTAATGTTATAAAATTATTTCACAATTATCAACGTAAAAACTAAACCGTACATTTCCAAATGAATAAAATATTGTATACTTTGAACATCAGTACCAATCGATTGAAAGCGTTATTGTTTCGTAGGGTAGAACTACACTCAATGCATTTGTAAATGGGTGTGTCAAAAAATCCGTCTTGTCCCTAGTTCCATAGATATACCCTTTCCCATTCTCATTTTAAAATTTATAGATTTGAATATATCGTTTCTAACGATTGTACCATGATAACAATTATATGTATACGTTAATACTTAGCGAGGAAACTCTAACCTTCTGGAAAGTTGGCTACCGGATGTTCCATGGGAAATTCTTGCGCTTCATGGGTGGAACAAAGTCAGTTGGTGCATTAGTGGAATCGAAAGAACAAGCGGGGCAGTATGATCCTCAGCATGAGGATCACACTATCAATAAAGCACCGGTGCGTTTCCAAATATTGGCCTAATATGACCGGTGCGTTACAACTAGATTAAGTGATATCTCATAAAACTGACCACCATTTAACTCCTAAACTGACACAATTTTGCATGCAACCATAAGGATCATGTTGATAAGATATATTCTCGCACAATCTAGGAATACTCTGTATATTTCATAAAAAGAATAAAATACATCAAAATATTTTAATGTTGCTTGTGCTTTTACATCTTGTTTGCATTATATATGCTAGTTATCACTGATCTAATCGATCTGGATCATTCTTTAATATATTGTACTTTGAATGGTACATAGGAGTTCTTCGTACCTAATCACGAAACATCGTAAATCAAAAATTTCTACTCACGTCCATTATGCATTTATCATTGTCCGCCATTTTTCTCCACTCCGGAGCGTTACAATTTAAGTGTAACGCACCGGGGTCGATCCCCGGTGCGGTATGGTTGCTCACCGTGGATATTAGACTATATTGTTTACGCTCACTGAGATTTCCAGGTCTACACGGTGCATAATTGATCCTTGGAATACTACATGTACACAAATAATTTGTTCCAATTTGATCCTTGGATTCTTACATAGAACAATATAAACTTAGCTCATAGTCTTTATTGGTTATTTCTAATGACATTTATTTATATTAGATAGGAGGACAGATTAAGAGGACTCTGAAAGTGCGTGTAACTCAGTCAGTTAAAGGACTAAACATCTGTATATGAATAGGACCATCTGAAGGCGAGACGAATTCGAACGATAATAGGATAAATGAAATCACAGTGGACATCCTGGTCTCTGGGGTAAGTGTCGCTCTCATACGGAATAGATCAGTCTAGACATACACTCCTCTCTGTTTTCAATTAATAACCTCAGAGGTTGACACGGGGTACAATGTATTAGAAATTTTGGAATGACGGCGGAGGCATTTTGCTTAAAAACATCTCTACCCATGGGTCTCGAAATTTGTTTTTATTATAGTATTTCTTCATTTAAAAAATTATGCATCTATTTAATATGTGTGAATTTTTGTGTGGGATGTTTGAGCCAAGAATAGTGCAACTGCAAATTGAACTTTATCAGCGAGGCGGCGTTAATCACTGACCTTCCTTCATCAGTGTTCACAGTTCATGCCTATGCGTTAATGAACAAGGGTGCTATTACGTATTTTCAACAGTCAGTTCATCTCATCACTTAGTATCATGTGAAGCATCAGCATTGTCGACATAATATGTAGACATAGCAAAGTCAATACAAAATTTTAAAAATCTAGTCTTGCCTTTTTTGAAAATGTAACTTCTAGTTCGGTTTGATTCCCCATAGACCCCATGTTACATAATCACAAAAAGTGAAATGTCTTTTTCTTGTATTGGACAGATAACCTTTTCCTTTCCTGGACATAGTTTAACTTGCTTAACTATTAGATACATACGGGTTACATATGAAAATTTAAATCAATGAAGAGTAGGACCATAATTTGATAGGACCTCCTACCCTTTTACTGCCATGGTATCTGACCCGAACGAGCCACCTGGTGGTGAAACTGGTAACTACCTACTCGCATCTGCGTTATTCAGAATGAGTGATGAAGCTTAGAATTAAGGAAATAGAGACAAGAATATGTAGTCTAACGCGCATCCCGTGAACATGCACTCAAGGTTCCTCATTATTAGTACTGAGATATTGTGGCCTTCTAGCTATTAGTTACTTTCTAGTTGAAAAACAGAAAACTGTGATGCATCCTGGGGTGTACACGTATGACAAACCTTCCTTCGTGATGCTGGGTTGTATGACAACCCTCCATCGTTATAGACAACTTCCCTCTCCCAGTATCTTTCTTTATTTACAAGGCAAAGTCTTGAGTATCAGAGTATCAGAGTGGCATAGGAGTGTGGGGAAATTAATTGGGTAGGAAGGGAAATGATAGTTGTGAATGAAATGATATTGGGTGAAAATTGAGAGATAATAACATTCACACTGGTGATCCGCTCGATTACGCTGGTTACCAAAACGAATCGTTTTGGTAACAAAATGGCTGCTGTTCCGGCTGAAGAAAACGGTTAGAATTTTCGTTTTCCTTGATATCTCGAGATACAGCATGAATCATCCATATCTTTTCGGCCAAAATATGGGTAAGCAATATATCTTTCTGGACAACCAAGTGATTTTGCTCGAAATACTTTGTAGGATGGCAGGAACGCCAAAATAATTCCTCGCTTTGGTTACATAAACGAATTGATTGAAAATTGATGATAATACGACAACGGACAGATACAGCTACATAAACGATAACTAATATTTCTATTTAACGAGTTGTTGACTGACTGTGCCCTTGATTGGAATCTTTGAAAAGATCAATAACTACCATGACATTGCTTGCTCCCCGTGTGTTTGAATTTAATACGTTGGCCCAAAATCACTTGGCATACATTAGGTTACAGTAGAAACTATCCCGGCATTTACGGTCTGATTTTAAATGATTGTTTTGTGGGGGCCGCCGGTCACCTACCCATCCCACCCAAATAGACTGCGTGTCTGACTCATTTTCGAAATGTTACATAAATCGAATGTTTATATTAGGCACACTAAGAAAATCATTTTTTCTGTTCAATTTCTCCACAGTTTCTTGTAGTTGTTTAAAATTGTGTTATTTATCAATTCGTTTGGCTAAATCAATCGAAGCTAGGTTCATCAGAAAGTAATTTTGTTCTGCTGATACTCTGTGCACTTGCAAATATCCAGATGGGGACCTGTGATTCATGGGCTGCTTCAATTAACAGCGGCATTACATGCGTTACAATTTATACATTCCTTGCCCCGTGTAATGTTCCATTCAGCACGTTATTCAAAAACGTACACAACTACTTCTTTTTTATTCTTAGATGACGTCCAGGAGAAAGTACAAGACATAAACACTGAGAAACTGCAGGGAGAGCAAGTTACTGACACCCCGGTCACATTTCCCACGGCTGCCGTGCGGTCTATCATTTCTGCGGCCAGTAGCTTTTCTACGCTCGCCGTAGAATTTCTGCGCTGTCATACTTTTGCAGTCACATTTCCCACGGCAGCTGCACTGTGAATTTTAAATTTCTGTTGATGAATGATACTTTTTTCATTTTATTTACATCAGGACAATGTATAAATGTTATAGTGCTAGGATGTAATATCAAATAAAAAGTGATCGTGAAACATTGACAATTAATTATTCAATCTTGTTGAGCCAGTTGATTTCTACGGGACCTCAGAAATGAACAAATATTATAACTCCGAGTTATAATTTCTACGGCGACCCTGCGGCCTGTAAAAAACGGGATACCCGTTTGGAGGCCGCAAGGCGAGCGTAGTTTTCCAGGCCAGTGACTACTTTCCGACCACGAAGACACGAAGGGTGTAAGTCATTTAGAAAATCGGAAACTCAACGAGCAATGCAAAGCCCAACGAACACTATATCCAAAAAATCGTGTAATTAGTAAATAAAGGAGCACGTACGTTACCGCAAACAATTTCACACGGTCATATCTTGGATAATGACTACTTTCCGACCACGAAGACTGGTAAATCTTTTAAATCCATTCATTATCTCAAAGAAAAGTGTAGACAGGCCAGACAGACAGACTGGACAGGCCAATCAAAATTTGGTTTCCAAATTCGGATTCCTGAGAAATTTCTACCCTTATTTTATAACTCACACGTTATATTTGGAGAACTTTTTGTTTTGACCTACTTTCCTGATACAATATCTCAAAATCAGTTCAAAATACTCTCTGACGGCAAAAGGCTAACCCTTTAAACATACTCTTTGCTATCTGTATAGCAAATTTCGAAGAATATTATTAAAGTGCAGTGCAAGAATCCTAAAAATAAGGAAAAACTATGAATTTGACCTAGATTTTGACGAAGGCCTTTTAGTGTTCAAATTTTGAAGAAAAGTATATTTTGAGGTCCGACTTTCATTAAGTTGGCTGTGGAGTAGGTAGCTGAGGAAGAAGCTGGTATTTTTCAATTCAAACTGGCACCATTGACTTAACATGAGGATATCATCATATTGATTTTTTGCGATTTCAAAATGCCATAACTCCCGAACCGGATTGCTATTTGGTTTGCAGATTCTGATTTCTGAGAAAATTCTACCCTTATTTCATAATTCATATGTTAAATGTGGAGAATTTTTTTGACCTATTTTCCGGATACGATATCTCAAAAGTGGGTCAAAATATTCCCTGACGGCAAAAGGCTCACACTATTAGCATACTGTTTGCTAACTGAATACTAAATTTCGAAGAATTCTATTAAAGTGTAGTGCCAGTACAAATTAGGAAAAACTATGAATTTGACCTAGATTTTGACCTAGGCCTTTTAGAGTCCAAATTTTGAAGGAAGGTAGATTTTGAGGACGGCTTCTATTGTAGGCTTTTATTAAGTTGGCTACATCCAAGCTGTATCTAGTGTTGTTACAATTGATAATTTTCTCAAGCCCCACTGACTTAACACGGGATACCAAAATAGCGATTTTTGGGATTTCAAAATAATAACTTCCGTACCAGATTCGGATTCCTTGGAAAATTCTACACCTATTTCATAACTCATACGTTGAATTCCGAGAATTTTTTAGTGTGACCTACTTTTCGGATACCATATCTCAAAAATGGTAAGTGTGATCACAAACAATTTGCATGAAGGGATTAGCTTTTTTCCAAAGAACATGACTGAAAAAACCCAGAGCAAAAATATTGTAGGACGACTGAGAAAATTGAAAAGAATGACAAAGTACTGGATTTGACCTAGTTCTTCACCTTTGACCTAGATTAAACCTGATTAGACCTGGACTTGGACCTGGAAATGGACTGGACTGGTATTTTTTCAATATTTTCTTCACTTCCTTTGACTTTCTATAAGGCTATCATCAGATCGATTTTTCTCGAAATTTCAAAATGGCATTACTTTCGAACCGGAAGTCGAATCGAAATTGGGTTTGCAGATTCGGATTCCTGGGGAAATTCTACACCTATTTCATAACTCATATGTTGATTTCTGAGAATTTTATATCGTGACCTACTTTTTGGACGTCATATCTCAAAAACAGTAAGAGTAATCAAAAACGATTTGCCTCTCGGAATTAGCTTTCTTTTCAAGGAACATAATGAAAAAAAACGGAGCGAAAATATTGAAAGATGACCGAGAAAATTGAAAAAATGACAAAGTACTGGATTTGACCTAGTTCTTGACCTTTGGCCTATATATAAATTTGACCCCATTTCTTACCAACTAGATACTGTACCTTAATTGACCATAGAATTGTCTTGAATAGATACCTTATAGTTGTTGAGAAAACGTGACCAGTAAAAGAACAAGAATAAGAATAAACAAAAGAGGCAAAAACAATAGACTAATAAAGTCAATCGAACTTGGGAGATATTTAGCTACCAATCAACCTATGAACATACTTTCTCAAAGATGTTCCCCTTCACCAATGCAATGCAATCATTTTTCACAATGTTTAATGCATTACTTAAGGAATGCCCAAACTTGCTGTTATTTTCGCCATTCCCAGGTGTGATGTCACACAATACATGCATATAGATTCCTTGAAGCAGATTCAATAAAGCACGGTCTTGCCTATATGGAGAAATGATGAACGTTCATTATTGGCTATGCTGCATTCTGATTGGTTTAGAAATTCAAATAGAGCACGGTCATGTTTGAATATTCTTTATTTTGATATATCAATGAGTTATTGAACTGAAAACTGAACTCTCTTAAGATGAGTGTTGATAATGTTATTTCCCCGTTTAGAAAAACAATT